TTTCCCTTTCCTATGCACCTCAGGTCAAATTCTCCCTTCATTTTTTCCCTAGCACAGTTGAAAAGCAGCTCAGCTGAATCCCCGGGACTGTGCCTAAACTGATATAAACAGTGGAATTGTTAAGCTATTGTGGACTCTATTGTTTGCATTGCTCCAGACGGCTGTAGCTGACTTGATGGGCCATCACTTTTCATGTATTCATTCTTATTATCCTTATTAATCAAGAAATACTAGCAAAACATGGTGTAGACCACATTCAGAAGTCTGTCTTCTGCCCTCTGCTCACTTGAAAAACAAAATTAGAGAAATTTGGAGTGAGAATGACATTGCAAAGCAGTAAAAAGAGCAGAGAAAGTCTTAGTTAAAAGAAAGACAGAAGAAAGTCTAATGGCACTTATGGAATGGGGCAGGGTTCCTGGTAGAATAAAAGAGGGGAGGACTTTGAAGCTTATGTTCAGAGGCTTGAATGTGATTTAAATTACATTCTTCTGAGTACAGTGTCAGGAGATCTGTTCCTTTAAGTGTCAGTGTAAGAGCTGGACCAGCTGCTTCTGGCTTCAGTTTTACCAAAACCAGTTCACCGTTGAATTTGTGCCTTCACATACGCTATACACATCTAAAATTTTTTTTGGGAGTGATAGAAATTGCCCAGCGTAAAACTGTTACCCCTCATCTTACTACACTCCCTGATCAAGAGTCTCCCTCCCTGTCTTTCGTGTAGGCCCCCTTTAAGAACTGGAAGGCTGCTATAAGGTCCTTACTGGGACTTGCGGGGACCAGGGCCACTGGCACTCAAGCCTTCTCCTCCGACTGCTCCCATCCTGCCAGGCACAGACACTGGACAGCGTTGCAGGAGCTGTGCCACCAGTAGTGGTCATTGAAGGCCCCGTTCTCCTCCCAGGCAGCATCCGTGTGGGAGCTCAGCCCCGGGGATGAGGGGGACCCCGCCACCGGCACCCGGGGAGACAGGAGGGGCCCAGCCATCATGCAGCAGGAGGGAGGCAGTGAGGAGGGCACCAACCTGTCAGGGATTTTGGTGCCTAGGTAAAACATCTCTGCCTGGAAGGTCTGCATGTCCTGGCAGAGCAGGCAGCAGAAGTGGTGCGGGGCAGAGTGCAGTGCCTAGTCCCGGGGCAGAGCTGGCGTCAGCGGCAGGGGAGTCCCGCTTGCTCCCCTGGAGTTGAGCGATGGGGTGATGACAGTGGCGATGTCAGGGGCTGGGGGCAATGCTGCCTACCTGGGTGCAGTGGCGGTGGAGCCAGGCGCTGGCGCAGGCGGGACAGACCAGGGTGTCATAGCAGGGCCACCCTGCCACTGCCTCCTGGAGATGAGGCAGGGGGTCTGGTCCTGCTGCACTGCCCGCACCCGCTGCACCGGCCAGCGCTTCCAGCGGAAGGACCTGTGGGTTGGAGGTGAGAGCTCAGCCCCGGCCCTCCTCCGCCCTGGCCCTGGCTCTGGCCCTGTGGGGTGGCTGCACTCACCTGAACTCCCTGAAAAACTGGGAGATGCAGCATCACTTGCTGCCGCAGGGGAAGTGGAAGTTTTGGGGGCACTGCCAGCCCTGGCAGGTGACCGAAGCGCTCCACGGCCGGTAGATGCAGCACCTCTGGGGATGGCACAGAGGCAGCCGCCATCAGTGCCACACGCCCCTGGGGAGCCCGGTTAGCCCTTCGCCCAGCACAGCCCCATGACATTTCGGTGGACCACCTGGCCGGTGACACCGGACCAGTGATAGAGCAGCGTACCCTCTCAAAATCCCCAGTTTCTGCAGAGATGGGCCTTTCTGGATAAAGGAGGATCTGGTGAGTTACTTGCAGGCAGCTGCCAGAGCATCCCTCTGGGGTTGCTGGCCTATGCAGTGCCGGCCACAGGGCATGGGGACCACGGTGGGAACACGTTCTCCCCCTGCCTCACCTTCTGTGCCACCCGCTTCACCTCCTGCCAAATGGTGGGGAAGAGGAAGCCGCAGAAGCCCTCTTCCTCGGCCCCTCTCTGGCTCAGCCCTCTGGCATGGTACTGCAAGAGGAGAAAAGAGGGTGTGTGCCGGGGGCTGTGAGCAGTGCAGGGCTGGGGATGGGGGGGTGTCGAGCCCTGGGGACTCACCAGGAAGTTCTTGTGCATGCAGAGCCTGTCATGCCGGCACAACTGCCCAGTGACCGTGGGTCACAGTCAGCCCACCGGCACAGCCAGTACGCTGCCGGGGGACAGTGGCACTGTCATCCCAGCACCATGCCGGGGTGCCATGGGGTAAACGCGGTAACACTGGGAACGGGATGGGGCAGAGGCCAGAGCACCTTCCCATGGCATGGGGGTGCCTGCTTACACGGCTGAACACTGTCCAAAATCCCCTCTGGCAGGTGCTTGGGGGGTTGCTCTGCACCCACCTTCCTCCTTGGGGACCTGATGCTTCATTTTGTGGGGGGGAGGCTCATAGGAGGGACCTGTCTGCTCCTCCAGCAGTGCTGTGGGACAGTGTGAGGGGTGGGAGCTGTGGCACCTTGCAGCGCAGGGACCTCAGCTCCATCACTGCAAGGGGCTGTAGTGAAGGAGATGGCTGGGCGTGGGGACGTTGGTTTGGTTGAAGACTGTCCTAATCCTCCAGTGTTTGAGGCAAACAGATCACTGAGCTGGCGGTGGATGCCCGGCAGGGCTGCCTGGCCTGGGGAGTTTGTGACTGAGCTCCGCACATGCTATGCAGGGAGGGCAACCCCCGGGCGAGATGCTGGCACCACCCCACAGGGAGGTCTGGGTGGTGCTGGGAGGCAGGAGCTGAGCGTGGGCTGGGGAGAGGGAAACACTGCAGGAGCTGCCATGGGACAGTCAGTGCAGGAGTGAGCAGTGAAACCAGGGTGTGGGGAGGGCAGGGGGGGTCCCTGTGGGTCCCTTCTCTCGTGTCGGGGCTCCAGCAGGGACTTCAGAGACACCCAAAGGGCTTGATAATCCAAATACTTTATTTAGGCATCAAAAATCCTGACTGCTGATTAACAGGCATGTTGATATTTTTTAAATCGTTTTTGTATTTTCACTTTTTAGCAAACAAAATTTAGTTTAACAAATACATGTCAATTAGAATAAATTTTCCCATTGAAGAAGGATGCAGCTCAAGCACTCTGCTGTGTGTGTCTGGTGCCAGGGACTGAGCCTGCTGCACTGGGGTGTCAGCGGGGAAGGGTCAGTACTCCGGCTTCTGGAAGTGCTTCAGATGCTCCTGCACCCAGCGCGCCTCGGGGTCTGTGCAAATCTCCCTCCCCGTCTTGGTGACCAGGCTGCAGGGAGAAAACCAATGTTGGGGCACTCGGCTGGGGCAGTGGGGTGCCTGCGCTGGGTCCCGCTGGCAGCGCCCGGGTGTCCCTGGCCGTGCCCCTTTCCCCGTCCTGGCCATCCTCAGACGCACTTGGGACACCGCCCTGGCTGTTGCACCCTGACCCCCGGGAGTGTTGGGCACTCACATCACTGCTGGCTGGCTGCACTGGCTGCTGGTCATGTAGGCAGAGGTGATGAGATAGTGCGGGAGGCGGTGTCCAATGTACGAAAAACAGCAGGCGATGGGGGTGTCTGTGGGGGCAGAGAAACAACCCCAGTGAGAACCCGCACTGCGGCAGACGCTCTGCCTGAGGCTCCCAGGGGACTCGCCATCACCTGTGCTCTATCCCCTGGGGACACCCCCTGGAAGCCTCCATCCCCGAGGCTGAGCCCCAGAACTGGTGACGACCACATGCTCCCAGCCCTCCCCATGGACACAAGGGTCCCATCAATAGGGGTGGGGCTCTCTCCTGGGGTGGGACAGCAAACCTGGCTTCTGGGGGGAGGCAGCAACGCTGGAGTCACCGTGATGGACCTCAGCTGAGGAGCAGATGGACATAAGGAGCAGAGAGGCCAGGGCAGCTGCAGGGACCTTCATGGTGCTGCGGGGGCCAAGGGAACCAAGAGTGCGGCTGGAGCTGGGGTGGCTGCAGGCTCTCCTCTGCACGATGCTTGTCGGGACAGCAAACCTGGCTTCTGGGGGGAGGCAGCAACGCTGGAGTCACCGTGATGGACCTCAGCTGAGGAGCAGATGGACATAAGGAGCAGAGAGGCCAGGGCAGCTGCAGGGACCTTCATGGTGCTGCGGGGGCCAAGGGAACCAAGAGTGCTGCTGGAGCTGGGGTGGCTGCAGGCTCTCCTCTGCACGATGCTTGTCCCCCACTGCTGCTGCCCTCCTTTTATCCCCCAGCCTCTGAGTGGGTGCAGGGTTTCAAGGAAAGAAACTGAGTGCATCATACTGGGGAAATTATGTCAGGAGTGCCCGGTTTTGCTGAGCTGGACGAGGCAAGGAAACTACAGAAGGGGAAGTGCCAGCCCTGGGGCTGTGACTTCCAGATTCAGGAGAGAACAAGTCCTATGAGGAGCGGCTGAGGGAACTGGGGTTGTTTAGCCTGGAGAAAAGGAAGCTCAGGGGAGACCTTATCACACTCTACAACTACCTGAAAGGGGGTTGTAGTGAGGTGGGTGTCAGTCTCTTCTCCCAAGTAACAAGTGATAGGATGAGAGGAAATGGCCTCAAGCTGCACCAGGGGAGGTTTAGATTGGATATTAGGAAAAATTTCTTCACCAAAAGGGTTATCAAGCCCTGGAACAGGCTGCCCAGGGAAGTGGTCGAGTCACCATCCCTGGAGTTATTTAGAAGACATGGTGCTTAGGGACATGGTTTAGTGGTGGATTTGGCAGTATTAGGTTAATGGTTGGACTTGATGATCTTAAAGGTCTTTTCCAACCTAAATGATTCTATGATTCTATTCTATGACCTTCATGGTGCTGTGGGGGCTGAGGGAACCACATGGGGGGCTGGAGCTGGGGTGGCTGCAGGGGTCTCCTCTGCACGATGCTTGGCCCCTACTGCCACTGCCCTCCTTTAATCCCACCAGAGTTTCAAGGAAAGAAAATGAGTGCATCATATCAAGGAAATTGTGCCAGGATCGCCCAGTTTTGCTGAGCTGGACAAGACAAGGAAACCACAGAAGGGGAAGCACCAGCCACAGAACTGTGAAATGCAGAATCTGTTTGGGTGGCTGGCAGACGCTGGCCAGAGCCCAAACCCCTGCAACACCAACCCTACTGCTGCTGCAGTGACAACACTGCCCAAGAGCCAGGCTGTAGGCACGAAGCTCCATAACCAGAGCCCTGAGAAAAATCAGAGCAAGGCCAGAAAAAGGAAGAAAAAGGAGGAAGTATCAAGTTTTGCAGCTTTCTTTCTGAGTGTGCACTGGTGGGGGTGTTTGGGAATTACCCTCTGGGACAGTGAATGCTGCCCCTTTTCAGTCATGCGACAATCTACTGGAGGTTTCATCTGCAAGGCTGCAATGAGCTGATCTCAGTGAGTGCCAGCAGAATCCTCTCTTCCCTCCAGCTCCTACTCTTTCTTAATGCCCTGTCTCCTCCCTGACACCGGTGTATTTGCTTTTTTTGGGCTAAGCCAGTAGTAGAGAGAGCCTAAATTGGATGAAGTTATCCTGCTTGGGAAGAAGTGGGCAAGCAATAATTGCAACAATTTGACTGTCAAGAGGCTGCAGACCACAGCCAAAACTAAAATCCTTAGTTCGAGAGGTGTAAATCCTCTCTTCACCCTGGGGACAGGGAGGGTGGCAGGCCAGGCTACAGCCTGAGACCACTGCTCCAGCCCTGGAGCAGGGCAACACAGTCCAGTCATAGAATCACAGAATCCTAGAATGGTTTGGGTTGGAAGGGACCTTAAAAATCATTTAGTTCCAAACACTCTGCCATGGTCAGGGACACCTTCCACTAGACCAGGTTGCTCAAAGCCTCATCCAACCTGGCCTTGAACAGTTCCAGGGATGGAGCATCCACAGCAACCTGTGCCAATGCCTCACCACCCCCACAGTGAAGAATTCCTTCCTAATATCTAAGCTAAATCTACGTCTTTCAATGTAAACCATTACCCCTCACCCTATCACTACACTCCCTGATCAAGAGTCCCTCTCCATCTTTTCTGTAGGCCCCCTTTAAGTACTGGGCAGCTGCTATAAGGTCTCCCCGGAGCCTTCTCTTCTCCAGGATGAACAACCAGGCTGAACTCTCTCAGCCTGTCCTCACAGGGCAGTTGTTCCAGCCCCCTGATCATCTTTGTGGCCATCCTCTGGACTCGCTCCAACAGGTCCATGTCTGTCTTCTGCTGGGGCCGAGAGCTGGACAAGTACTCCAAGGTGGGGTCTCTCCAGAGCAGACTAGAGGGGCAGAATCACCTCCCTCCACCTACTGGCCATGCTTCTTTTAAGGTGGCCCAGGATACAATTGCAACACCAGTTGTAATTCAGCTTGTAGTTGAAAACTGGGAAAAACAATTGTATCTGCACAATTCCATCACCCATGTAGGTTTTTGAGGTATGCAGCATCCATCAGTTTAAGTTTCTAAAGTTTTTGTTTCCCCCTTTGCTCCTAGCCCAAGCCTGAATTACATGATTTATAATTTTATCAGATTTTAATATAATTATCAGCTCTTTTCATCACTCCTTCCCTCTCTTTGTTTCTGAGGGTTAGAAGATCCACAAATAATATGAGTTCTGCTGTCCCAGTTCTCTTTGTTCCTACTCCTGTCCTTAAACTTAACCCCAGCTGTAGCCTTAAATACAAACTAAACATATCCGTTATCCTGCCTCACTGATCTTTAGTTTTGCAGATATGCATAAACCACCAGTGAAATGAAATTACTGATGTTTAATTTCCTGAAGTATAATATATACTATAAGAAGTCCTAACTTGTATTATGTCAAACCTGGACCTATTTGAAAAGGTATTCCATTAGTATATTTTATGGTCAAAGCTCCACTCCATGCTGTTGTGGTCTGAGTAATGTGAATTCTGCTAACTTTCTGCCTACTTCTCTATATTTAAAAACATGGAAAGATCTTACACATATTTAACAGAACCTTAAACATAACCTCGGGACCGCTGTAAAGACCAAAAAATGAAAATAACTATTAGTATCTGCAGACTCTGATTTTATCCCTGGTTTAGTAAGTCTGCAGTATCCCAACAATATATCCAAATCATAAACTTGTATTTTCCTAAATGTTTAACTAGGTAACAGCACAAGCTGAAGCCTGAGCTAGGTGAGCTGTAGCTGTTCCAAAACTGATTTAATTAATATAATATACCCTTGTCTCTGCTGAGAACATCCAACAGCATACTGGGGAACAAATTATGCCCTACTTCCCCTCTTTAACATAACATTTATTGTAAACCACCACTAACCGTCTCCTTAAACACTCCCTTTCTTGTCTGTCATGGTAAAAAGTACATGTATGCTTGTCTTCCAGTTCTAATTTAAATAAATTTAGGACATTTTTATGTAGGGGAGGCAAATAATTTTGAAACTGCATTATCTGGGTTTTTTTGGTTTGTTTGTAGGCTGCTTTTGAGGTCATGCTCCCTTTTAGTTAAGATAGAAGCTGCTCTTTGACCTTTTATCTTCATTGACATAACATAATAAATAGATCCTTTGTGCTTATCTAAATTGGGCAAGTGTTTCCAAACTATAAAAACCATAATAATTGGCTCTTGGCTATAATATGTATGTATAGTTATAGTCCCATGCAGAACGAGGCCCTAGAAAACTCAGTGAAAGTTTTGAGAATGACAAGCAATTCTGAATCCTAAATTTCTTGATTAAGATTAGTTATCAGGCATCTATTATATCTGTGCTATAACTATGCTTTTCCTCATTTAGAAGAAGACTAATCTAGATCCCAGCACTATTTAGTGCTTTAGTAAATTAACCACATCATAGCAGATATCTTGGACAGGTGCTCAGTCAAAGACTAACTTTTCCTTCCCTATCCATTTGGAAGAGAAGCAGTAGTATAACACCTTTCTAAAGAATGTAGCAGCAAACAAGAAAAATAATCTCAGGTACTATCTAATTCAAAAGTTCCCCCAGTTACAGATTTCTGTAGAGTTCTGCTCTCATCTATGAAGTCTAGCATTTTCTACTTTCTGGATTTCGGGATGGGTTTTTTTTAGCAGTCAGTCTTATATCTATAGCAACCTCATAACTTTGTGATTATTAAATATTACAGAATAAAAATAGAAGAATATATAAATAGGTCTCCAAATAGTCAAGGTTTGGCTGTAGCTTCATCTGAGATACCACTGTACCCTTACATACCAATGTCAGTCCTGGCACGTTGCCTCTTTTTGACAGTGGGTAAATAATACCCTTTTGGTAGTAACCACTCTAGATTTCACCCTCCTGAACATCTTGACATTTTCCCTTGGTTTTGTGTGTTAAATAATAGAGTTTTAGCCAAGGTTCATCTAAGGTAACTGGAGGTCCTCCATCCGCGGGTTAAAATCAGCTGTCTTGTTCTGCAAGAGAGTATACAGGCTCCCTAAATGACAGGACTCAGTCCCAAAGAAGTGTAAGAAATGTGATAGGAAGGCAAAACTGGCCTGAAAGCACTGTCTATCCCATTTTAATGGTGGCGGCAAACCAACCAAAGATTCCTGTGGTGCATATCACAGCAGTTAGCTACAGCCTGATCTTGTGAAGAGCCACAAATGTACCTTAACACTATGTATAATCCTACTGGCTCTACTTGCATCTGCAGGATTTATTTGTATTTCAGATCAGGTCTTAAAAGTTTAAAATCTTTTTGGCCCTATAAAGAGTGAGTCCATGCTGGTAAAACACTCTTGGGTTAATGTCAGGAATTGATAGCACAGGAGCCTTCCAAATCAAGATGGCTTTGGAGATTCCTGGTTGTCTGGGTTGGTGACACAATTCTCTGTGTCTGGTGTCTCCCTCTCAGTATGGTTTTGTAAACATGGAGGGATCCTATTTCTTCTTTTACTTTCTTTTAGTAACAGAAGAGAAAGCATCGTTCTGGATCTTCTATATTCATTTTC